TTACAATGCAGAATATTGCTTTTCTCTCTGCTGATCAGAGTCGCTCTTTGAGGTCCGCGCTGCCACAATTTCGAGGATGTTAGAGAAATTTGAGTATTCTAAAATTTAAACGCTTTATACGTTATAATAGTTAAATATTTCGGGTATTACAATGCAGAATTTGTATTGGAAATTATTCGAATAGTTCAGCTATTACGCTACTACCCCCCAGACGCGTCTGTCTCTCCCTCATCCCTTCCGCTTCCTGGACCTGTCGTTGCACTTTGCGCCGTTGCTACGCTTCGTCGAGCGAGATAACTAAATCATGCGACGGATATCGCGTTGGCAATTTGAACGACGATCCGCGTAATAGTCTTAATAGCAGGGTCCAGTTCTCTGCTGCGACGATTGCCGTCGCGTCAGACCAATTCGCGATATTTCTCGGGATATGCGACGGTGCTCTTGAAAATGAAAGCCTGATGGAAACGGGGTGGAGGGATTTTTTGGGTGATGGATAAAGGGAGGATCGAGAGGATGAGGTTAATGGAACGTTGCCATTTTTCGGATTCGATTAGAGTCGGACCAAATGTGTCTCTTTGTTGATTGTATAGGAAAAGAATACTAGTTTCGTTCTGATTTTTCTACGAAAATTGGAAAGGAATTATTTTCTTTTATTTTCAGTAATTTTTAAACGGTGTTGATTAATTAACTTTTATTGTACATCGTGGTATTACTTGGAAGATTGGAAAAATAGAGACAAAGGATGGTGTTTAATTAATCTTTACGTCATAACGATGTATTAATATTGACATTTTATGGGATCAGTTGTTGTGTAAAAGTTCTACGTGTGTTTGATTTGAAAAAAAAAAAGAGAAGAGAAAGACGGGAACGCATATCGGTGGGATACGCGTTTCGGAAACGAAAAAGTGATAAATCTGGAAATGTGGAATGACAGAACACATATATCTTCGTTGAACGGAACTAGCGAATCCCTATATGCCGTACTAATCCTTTTCCGATACTGAAAAAATGATAAATCTCGGATGTAAAACCACGAACGTAGGATATCGATTTTGTATACAGGACGATCCGTAAGTGGTCCATAAGAAGTTTAACGTTTAAGCTCCTTTGCGAATTGTATGAACAAAATATTTGCCCATGTAGCTTAATGTTTTTCCAAACAACCGCGTACATAAAAATAATAAATTCTTTCTTTTTCTTTTTAACCCTCGGGTGGCGGACCATGGAAAGAATTTAACGTAATTTTGTAATTCATATTATTTTAATTAGGTATCTAAATTTTACACCGTTCCTTTAAAAATTATTGTTCGAATATATGAATTCTTTTGGTTTAAAAATTATACATCTAACTTTAAATTAAATTTGGGTCACAATTGACCCAGGTTAAATAAAATTCAATTTATATCTTGTATTTCATGTGAGATTAATCGAAGAAGAAGAAATTTACAAGATAATTATTTGAACAAATTCTGAAGATGAAATTTTCATTTAATCAGATCAAATGTATCGGTGAAAATTTTCATTACAAAATGTACTTCATAAATTCACATTCATTTGAAATACATAATATCGATTGGACGGAAATCCTTTCGTAAATAATGTTAATGATTGATATCTCGTTACGTCAGACCGGTTAAGCTTATCGTATAATGCTTGAAAACAAAATATTTATGTGAATATATGTATCGAGCAAATAATATTTATCAATAATAAATTTAGTCGCGTTGGCGAGATCATTTTTACCCTAGAGATTTCAACGCACGATGATAATGTGTTACGCACGTTAGACTTACTGCGTGGAAATTAAAAAAGCGAAGTTAAAAATTAATAAAAAATTAATCTCTATTACATTAAGCCTTTAGCAATTGTTATCGATAATATTTGAAGAATTAAATTCAGGGTGCAATAGTATTTTTAATTTTAATTTTTTATTAAGTATAGGAGTTGTATTATTTTATTTTCTACTAAAAGAGCAAGGGTTAAAAATTAAAGAAAATTAATATTTACTTCAATAAGGATTTGGTAATTGTTATCGATAACACTTGAAGAATTAAATTCAGGGTGCAATAGTATTTTTAATTTTAATTTTTTGTTAAGTATAGGGGTTGTTATTTTCTTTTCTTCATCATTCAACAGAATTTTCATGATTTTTAATACACAGTAACAGAGTGTAGTAAATTTCTGGATGTCTACCGTTTGACATTGAGGAAAGTACAAAGTAGGAACGTAATAGTCGGCACATGATCATAACACGGTAGCAAACGAGCAAAGTTCGCGAAGAAGAAGCTTTTCCGGTAGTGTATCAAACCAGCCACAACACCTTGATTTTTCTCACAATAACGAAAGTTCAATCTCGTCCCCTTTTTATATCAAAAAAAGTATCTCCATTTGAGATAGCGAAATATTCTTTAAAATCTTTTGCTGAATAACAGAAAACTTACGATATGGATTAGCATCGATAGAATTTCATCAAACTTTCCGATTTTAATAATTCATACAGCGATTTCATTTCCTTTAAGCATTTTCAACCCTCGTAAGAGTAACAGGTGAACAATAAATTATTCACGAAATTGCATTCCTCTTTCAATAGGAATTTCTAAATTAACAAAGGATATTTTTAAACATTTTTATCAGAGGTACGCAACCCTAAGGAATAAGGGTTGATAATTCATAACAATTATTTTTACGACGACGTGGAGTCAACGGAGAAATTATAAACAAAGAAAAATCAGAGGCTCGCAACCCTAAGGAATAAGGGTTGATAATTCATAACAATTATTTTTACGACGACGTAGAGTCAACGGAGAAATTATAAACAAAGAAAAATAAGAGGCTCGCAACCCTAAGGAATAAGGGTTGATAATTCATAAAAATTATTTTTACGAAGACATGGAATCTCAACGAAGAAATTATAAACAAAGATATTGCAAATACGAAGGCCTAATAAAATCCAGGAATAAAAGACCTCGGAGCCTGCAGCTGCAGGAGGGACGTTCCATCTGAAAGGATGAAATGCAAATCTGGCCGCAGGATCGTCGTCGGCTAAACAACGAGCGACGAGGAGGAATCGATGCCTCTGAATCAGCGAGTCGTATCCCGGCTACGGGTATATATTGTCGTAATATTTCGGAAAACGCGCTGCCACCGTCGGATACCGGGGTCCAATCTCACCCTCGAAGATGGCATATACGCAGAGGTGAATCGCCTCTTGCCGAGGAAATCCGAGGTAATTGAATGCTAACCCTCCTCCCTTTATCCACCCTCCTCCCTTTCGTTCGCCGCCCTTGTACAGCCCTGAAAAGCCGAACTGCTGAGCGAGAGAGAAAGAGAGAGAGAGAGAGAGGGCGCTACCTTCATCCCCTTGCCATCACTCACCGACACAGACTTGTAGCTTTCAATAAAAATGTAAATATGGCGGCGTAGAACGAGCCAATGACAGCGCTACATCGATGCCGCGGGACAGACGGACGGACAGAGAGGAAGAGGAGGAACGGGAGAAAAAGGGAAGCGACGGGAACGCGTCGTGGGAGAGAGAGATACGGAGGGGTTGGAGGCATCGAAATGGCAAGCTGGTTGCGAGGGTCGAAGATGGCGAACGAAGGAGGAGGACGGTAGCCGAGGACCAAGAGGAGGCTTCGAACGGTGAGTTCTCCGTTGAGCTGAAGCTGCAAGCAGAAGAGTACTCTACAGATGTAGCCGGCGAGAGGCGGGAGTAAAAGTGGAGGAGGTGGAAGCCTCCGGGAGAGATCGTTCGAACGTGGGGGTGGGAGAGGATATGGGAAGAGATAGGTAATAGGGGTAGGGAGAAAAAGAGGGAGGGAGGAGGAAAGATGGAGAGAAATAGACAGAGATGTGGATGAAAAGAAGAGGGAAAAAAAGATGAGGAGAGAAGAGGAACGCTACCGTGACGTTGGCTGTCGTCACCTCCGGACGGTAGCTTGTTCTTCCTTCTCCGTTCCTCTGGTTTCTACTGGAAATATTATCGGAGAGGGTAGGGAGAGCGCGGTGGGTGTGTTGGAGGAGGGAACGGAGGAACTCCAGGGCGAGAAGAGAGCGGCCGCCCGAGGATGACGCAGGTGCCGCAAAGCTTGACACGTCTCCGGGCTGTTTTGTCACCTTCTTTTATCCTTCGAACTTTTTACAAGCTGCCTCGTTAGAAGCTTGCTCTCGGCGTTGATGGAGTAAGCCGCTGTTGAACAAATGCGTTTTAAAATCACGCTTACCTACCCTCCTGTTACGGAGCACGCGGAAAACTGGCCCATCCGTAATGAAAGCTACTGAATCTCGTTGGGTTGTATGCTTTTTTTATTTTATTCCTTTTTCCGGTGGTATTAACCCTTGAAGCCCTACCGAGACGAGAAGGATTCCGAATGCTTTATTCTTGGCAATCGATGAAAGATCAATCGGGATAAATCGGGATTAACGAAAGAAACGGAGAGAGAATAATTGTAACTGTAATGGTATAAATAAGAGAGAGAAAAAAAGTCATTCTCAAAATTAGATGACGATATTACTAGGATGTGGCGTAGCAGGCACGGTTTTTAATAAAGTTTACGGTAATCTTCAATAAAAACGTCACGATGATTTAAGTGGAGAGCCGGCTAATTATGAGTAACAGATGTAGATGGGTTAATAAAAATTCATAACAGTTAAGCGTTCGCCGGGGCTCCGATATTAATCCGTGAATGATGGAACGAACGGAAGCTGCGATAAAAAGTAAAATCAACGGGTAGCTGCCTGTTTTTAACGCTCGCCATCGTTTTAATATTTCCTTGTCGGCTTAATTGTTTAAGCGGGGATTACAAGCTTGAAAAATCATCCTTTTTAATGACCGTGGATATAACGTTCGTTACATCGATTTCGATCTTCCAACGTAACGTTCGAATGAAATAATTATTTTCATTTTTCTTTCTATTTCCGTCCTCGTTTCGAAATCGAAGGGCTTAATCGTCGGAAGATCGGCCCCTGTGGACGAGATTAAGATTTCTTTTTGCTCTTACCTTGACTTGGGACTCGGACATGCCGAGGGCGTACGCCAATTTAGCACGTTCAGGGCCCGCAAGGTATTTCGTTTGCTCGAACGTTTTCTCAAGGGCGAAGATTTGCTGGCCACTGAACGTTGGCCTTGTGTGTTTCTTCTTACCACCCTCGTGTTCCCCAGCACCGCCTGAGCCTGTCATCGTCTGCTGACAACCCAGCTGTTGCGACACTGTAACATCAATATCTTTCAGAGATACTCTCGTCACCTTAATAACACTCGTTTAATCGTTAAAGGCTAAATTGGTCGAATAAAACTGTATCTGCGTGAATGATTTGAAGGTACGGGGTTGATTATTGAAACTATCAGAGGATATTTAGTATATCAATTGTAAACTAGATTACAATGATAAATTGAAAAAAAAAAATGAAATTTGCAGAAGGATAATTTTGTAATTGGAGAGTGTTCCTCGTTAACAGAGTCGAATTAAACTTATTCAATAAATCGTAAGCACGCCACGCATCCCTTTTACCAAGTAATTAATCTTCATCAATTTTGCGTCATTCTTCTTGCCATCGGCCGGCGTATTTTGTTCCCGACGATTTACATACCCTATCGATAATTACGTCATAAATTTACATCTCGTTACACGCCGAAAATGTTGTGTACAACATATCTATTAAAAACCATCCAATTATTTCACGATGATCGGTCGATCGAAACCTTTCGAGGTGTTTCCTTTAACTCTCACCGCTTTATGGATTTTAAAAATCGATGTTGCAAACGTTTATTGAACCATTATTCAAGAAATATCGCAATAGTTTAATGTTCGATTTTTGAGAATTCGAATTCGAATTTTATGAAAATGGAAAAATTTTGTAGGCAGAAAAAGACAGAGGGAGATCGCCGTTTAATTTGACAGGATCGCGTCGTTGAAGGGTTAAACACTTGTGCGATAGACCACAATGATGGCGTCGGGACGGCTGCCGGCACGTGCCAGCCACGTGAGTTTAGTGTTCCGCAAATAGGGAGGACTTTGTTATCCTTGTTATCCTTGCCATTGGTGCCGTTGATTCCCGTGTTCGATCCCCAGGATAGATACTATCGTCGAATAGGATGGCACGTGACGAGAGGGGTGAAATTTCGGGTGGCATTATCGCGACGCGAAGATGTTCACGAGCGATGTGACGCGAAAAACCGGCGCGATTAGCATGATCTCCCTCGTCCGTTCTGCTCGTAAACTTAACCAATCGTCCAGAAAATTGTGGGAAAATTATCTACTAATCTATCTCGCTCGTCGTTTGCTATATCGAACAATAGGGGGATGAAATTAGGCGAAACAATGGTACTTTGATAATTAAAGGGTTTATTAGTGATGTGTTATTAATAAAATTAGAAATTTATCAAAGGATAAAACTGGAAAATTTGATAAATTATCTACTAATCTATTTCGCGACTCTTTCATTATATTGAACAACAGGGGGATGAAATTATAGGAAACAATGGTACTTTGATAATTAAAGGGTTTATTAGCGATGTGTTATTAATAAAATTAGAAATTTATCAAAGGAGAAAACTGAGAAATTTATTAAGGGAGAAAGTTGGAAAATTTGGTAAATTACTAATCTATCTCGCTGCTCGTTCGTTATATCGAACAATAGGGGGATGAAATTATAGGAAACAATGGTACTTTGATAATTAAAGGGTTTATTGGCGATGTGTTATTAATAATACTAGAAATTTATCAAAGGACAAAATTGAGAAATTTATCAAAGGAGAATACTGAGAAATTGATTAAGGGAGAAAGCTGGAAAATTTGGTGAATTTCAGGGAAAATTGACAGAAGTGAAATTCCAAGACTGATGGGAGGGTTAAACGATGGCAAGAAAAAGAAAAAAGGTAGGGACTTATCGAATTACCGTAGAGGAAGTTGTACGAGTTTACGCAGTTTCTAAGTAGATGAATAGGGGATATCGCGTGAAACGTGTACCTCCATCGAAGCAGAGGGTGGAGTGCGGTAAGCAGCTCATTAGAACCCTCCCCGCCAACTGGCCATTATTGCCTCGTTCCGTATTCCGTTACAAATTGCTTTATTAAATTAAAGTCCCACAACCCATACTGTTGTGACGACCCTACGCCTCTTCCCTTCCCTTCTCGTCCCTTTTCGTTCGTTTTGGATCCCTTCCCTATGTGCCACGGGTAAACGGGTCTGACCGCGTGCTACCGCTCGTCCACTCGGCTCGTCCTTTTCTTAATTACCTGACCAAATTTTAATCATTTCAATCCGATTCTTTTTTTACGGAATTCTACCTACCCCTGTAGACTACAGTGGGTGATCAAATTATTAGAGCCACGGTATGAAATATGGATTTTTCGTGTTTTTGTAGAAATATAATCACAATTTTAAGGTTTTTATATTGAATAACTTGATAATATACAAAAAAAAAACACTTATAAAAATAAACAAATTCATTTAAAAGATTATATTTACGTCTTTTCGGAATTTTGATTGCTTTAACGTTTAAATAATTGGCATTTATTACTAATAATAAATATTTCCACAAATTTTCGATGGGGTTGAGGCCCGGAGAATTTCTTCACTTTCTTCAACTATGTATCTTAACTTTGCAAGCATCATGAAGAAAATAACAGAAACTCCTTTTAACTAGGTTTTCATTTAAGAATGAATTGTTTTTATGTAAAATCGTCGATTCTAATAATTCGATCACTATATTTTCTTTATTTCCGTATAGATAGAGTTTCTCAATTGTCCTCGATTCCATTCCACATCTTTATCTTCAACTTCTTTAATTCTCTTTTCCTATCCAACTTAAATCCTCCGATATTTACGCCCACGCTGTCGCTCCAATCTCAATCCAGCAGTCCTTAATAACCCGGAAACACTATTTCATCGTTGGTAACCGGCTCTCGAAGCGAGAGAAAACTCGGAGTCGAAAGCTGCCCATAAATATCCAGCTAAGAGGAAAAACCATTTCCATCAACGATTCGTATCCAGCTACGAAAGTTACAGTACCTTTCCTCTTCTCAGTTAAACAATCCGAAATTATTACGAAACACCAGCCTCTCTGTCCACCTGTTTCCTTCGTCCGGAACGTTTGGTCCCATGGCGATCGTTGGAGGACGTCTCTCACGAGGTTCGCGCAGAAGCCTATCGGCGTTACAGGTCGGAATATAAAGCATAGATCGAGGAGGCTGTAGCGGTGTATTCGGGGTCGTAAGTCAGGTTACGAGGGATGGCGATGGAAGAGGCGCCGGAGCAAGCCAGGAAACCGGGTCTACACGGTAAAGCCGTCGTTCGTACGATGCCACAGTTAAAATATTGCCGGAGTTATTCGCGTGAGTGTGGAAAACCAGGGGCCGGCTGCGGCATCGCGAGCGTGGAGCGGGGGTGGAGATGCTTTCTCGAGGGTTGATATTGAATATGATATTCCGGATCCGACGCCGCCGCAGCGGACTACCGCTATGCTACCCTCTTATTCGTCCCGCAGTGACATTCGTACCCGACGACGCTGAAACAACACACGCTTGCTCGTCCACGCCCTTCCACGCGTACTTACATCCCATCTTCCTCGCCCTTCTTTTCCCTTTCTCGTCTCTACACGCTTCGTCCTTCTCGCTCCACGATCCCTTCTCTACAGCGTGTTACGTTCGGACGTTGGTGTGCGTGCTGGGTTGGCACATGTGCCACAACAGGGCTGATGTATGCTCTCGGAAAAGGGGATGGTTCTGCTCTCTTCTTCGACGTCACGTGTTCTTTCACTTTGCTTGTGATTTTTTTTTCTTTTTTTCTTTTTTTCTTTTTTTCGTTCTTCTTTCGCGGCGCCCTTAATCGCTTTTACAAATCGCCCTGGGTAGTCGTGCGCCGAGTTTCGTACGGGATGTGGGAGTTTCCAGAGCGGACCGTGGCTGGTGGCGAGTTTAGCTTCCGGAATTTGATTTTGAAGACGTTTCCGTGATGGACCATCGGCGGTTACCTTTTTTCAAGGTGTTGGGTATTGAGGAGGTGGTTTAGTTGGAGATTCTTCCCCTATTGTACAATTTTCTGCTTGATTGTATTTTGTTTGTATAAGCGAAAGGAAGTTGGGAAAAAATTTGTTTCGAAATACTGAGAAAAAAGGTGTTTTCTCAGATCTCGGAAGCGGCGTTTAGCGACACGTGTTTTTTCGCTTCGGTCAACCGATTTCCTCGTAGCAAAAGCAAACACTAGCAGCTGTCAAATCTGTGTAATATCGTCGGTAACGAAATATCCCGAAGGTAGAAAAATATCTCGAGGACCCCTCATTGCTATGGATCAATGTTTTCGATCCAATCGTTTTCGTTTCAACGCTCTCGTTTCATTTTTTCTTTTGTTTCCTTAACTCTCTATTTCCGTAACTATTTCCCTATGAAGAGGAACATCGGTTTCTTCGTTCGGAATTAGGAGAGTTTCGCTTAATTATTCGTCTCAGGGAGGAGAAACTGCGAAGTTTGAGTACGCTTTACAAATCTAGAACAAGTTTGCGAGAGGAAACTTACGCGTGTGTAGTCTTGCTCGCCATGCCAGAGGATCGCTGACTAATCCCTGAAGACCCGGCCAATAGACAGCAGGATGCCGTGGTTCCGTTCTTTGTTGGAATTGTCCGATACCTGCATTCAAAAGCAAACACACCGTGAAGAGAACATAGTATGCACAGATACACGGATAGAGTTATTCTTTCCTCTTCGTTTTATTCCTTTATTTGTAAATTTTCAATTTAATGAGACATTAACGAGACACTCGATGCCTCCTGAAAATTTTAAATTGCACGTAGGAGAATATAATGAGGAAAGTGTCGCAATTTGTATCACTATTTATAGTTCGTTATAGGGTAACGTAGACAGTTATTGACTGCTATAAAAATAGAAAGTATAATATAATGCGTTTCTTACATAATAAATTACAATTCTATTTGGGTTATAAAAGATAATTATATTTTACATGTGGAAGAATAATTTGTATGGAAATAGTGTAAAATCTAAGTTTAGGAAATAAAATTAGGGCTCTCTCCACGGTCCGCCTTCTTGGAGCTCTCTCCATGGTCCGCCGTCCGAAAGTTAAAAAACGCATTATATTATACATATATTTTACCTTTTTAGGAAAAGATTTTTTCCTCTCTTCTATCCTACACAAATTTTTCAACTCCCTTTCGGTAATATAATACTACTTAGGACTCGTTCATACACCACCGATAAAGGGTCCCGCGTTCTTGCTCCCAGGAAAGGCTCTTCCTTATTCAAGAAACAGGCGAAAAAAAATATTCTGCCTTTTCAGGAAAATAGTTAATCATTGTATAAGAGTCAACAACTGTATACGTTACCCTATCTATCAAGAGAATAGGGAATAGCTAGCAGGATAAACCACAACTGGACGTTAGTGGCCACCTACAGTCCAATCAAAACAGGAATTTCCTGTCCGGCAAAAAGTAACCAACCATCCTGCCCTATTGTCAACATTAATCCTATTCAATTCTAAAGGAGCCCTAAATTTGAATAAAATGATATTTTTTATTTGAAAACGTACAAGAAATCTGAGCGTCTGCAATTAGTTCTTATTCGCTTCTAATATTGGTTCATCATTCTCAAAGGTTTATAAAATCTTCCAGCAAGAATATCGTCGCGTACATTTAGTCGTAATTTAAGTAGAAACGATCCTTTCTCAAAGCAACCCCCGTATCCGGCACGTATAAAACGTTATTTCCCGTTTTAGTGTTCCATCGAGCGGTGTGCTCGAGGCAGAAACGATCGCTCGATCGTTATTCCTTTTGTCCGGTTACGTTGAAATCAAATAAAATTTATTGGATCATAAACGACTAAAGGCTGCATACTCATCAACAAAAATATTCGGTATCATCGTTCAGTGGCAAAGAAGCTGACGATCGCTCCACGATCCTCCGACTTTAATTGAACCTCCAACAGAGATTTTTACGGTTCTCGCCCTATATGTAAGATGGGTGGTTGGGTTGGGGCGGGTGAGAATCTCGATTTCAAGAGATCGAGCGTTTTCCTGCTGACAGAGGAGGATGGATCGAGGCTTTGAGGGTGATTTTGAGAAATGTCGTTGGATATCTAGTTCTCTTCGAATTTATATTTCCTTATAATTGCAGTAATTAACCCCTTCGATAAGTTATTTGAATTATTCAAATTTTCTAGCAAATCCGTAATATCGGTATCTGAAATTTTTAACGATTATTTAGTTGTTTCACCTTCTTGGTATATGGTAAAGGGTTGTTAAACTCCTTTCGAGTACGGAGAAGCGACGGTGAATTATCACGAAAGCAGATGCAACGAGGGTTGGAAGCAAGAGGAGGTTGAATGAACACACGGATGCGTATCGAACCTGCGCGTTCCGTATTGCGCGACATGCATCGCTCGCCCATTTTACCTCGGGGGCGGGATACACGTTTCTACAGCGTGCACCATGAACAGGGTGCTCCGACAACTTACTTACGGGGGAGTGAAAGAAATTTTCTGTCAATTTACTGGAACGACGATTCTTAGCTTCTGTCATTAACCCTCTGATACGTTGATTATCACTCGTGTGATGAAGCCTCAATTTTCATCAGATTTGTTAAAAATAGAAAATATTTTCTAATGGAATTTTCAATAACACTAGATGTACCAAGGGGGGTCAAAATGACTTGTTTGGCATTTCTTATAATCCATTTTGTTTTCTAAAATTTTGTACTTTTTCTAAAATGTGCAAATAACTAATTCTGTAAAACAGTTTTCTTTTTTTTTTCTTTTTGTAAAATTTTATGCAGTATACCTCCATATACCGAGATGAGTCATTTTGACCCCCATGGAACGTAGATATACTTGTGATTTTTGAAGTTTCTCATATTATTTTTGTGTAGTTCAAATAGATTTTTAGAAAACTAAGTATATTTTCGTACATCTACATTGTACAAAATTACCATAAGAGATATGATGACTTATTAGCTTGAAAAACATGTCATTTTGATTCCTCTGGTGTCAATGTTCTAGTGTTAATTTCGACACCTTTCGCGTGTAGAAAATTAGATCGAGAAGAAAAGGTAAGGAACGGTGGGAAAGGCGAAAAATAATGAGAGAGTGAGATAGTAAGAAACGAGGAGAGATCTTAAACAATGTTCGCAAGAGGAACGCGGCTCTTTTCGAAACTATAGCCGGTTCCATTATTGCGAATTATGGCCACGATTTCTGAAGATATTTGAACGTCCGCCATGGACAAAAGTGGCACGGCAGTCGGATATAAATCGCAAAGGATTCTTTCGGAAACCCTCTTGGTGGCTTTTACGGGTGCCACCATCAAGATTTCTTCTTTTATTGGAAGGAAAACAATTTTATAGTGTCTACAGTGTTGCTCAACCATGATTCTTTTACAACGATCCGGTGGTTACCGATGGCTCATGAATTATTAAAAAATAATTTCAATAGAAAATCATTTTTTATCGGGTATCAAAACCGATAGATATATTCATTTATAAAAATGTGACATTCTGGAGCTTAATCCTTGAACGGCGGACCATGGAGAGAGCCCCAGTTTTAATTTCATATTATTTTCATTATTTAAATTTCACATTGTTCCTATGAAAATTATACATTTAATTTTAGATTGAACACGTTTTATAAGTTTGGGTCTCAATCGAGAAGGGTTAAAGAAATGAGATTAGATTCATTTTAATTATTATAATACATGTATCGAGGGGGACGGTGTAATGATGAGAGTAAATATTGAAAGTGATAACACCAGTGATAAGAGAAGTTATTATAGTGGTAATAATAGAATAGATTCGATAAAGATCAAGATAAATGTAATTGATTTCCTATAGGTAAATATAGAACATTCAATTGAATACTTCCAAAGTGAAAAATAAATTTTTTGCAAGGAAATAATAAATTATTATTGAACCATAATGTGTATTAAGAAAAAATATTGGTTCCCTGTTGCGTTCAATATTATTGAACAATCTAATTGGAGGACCCTCGAAATCTGACCTTGCCAGTACCATCAACAGCCTAATTCATGAACTCATGAACCCTGGTCACGTGCCTCCCTCGTTCATAAAATGTGTTTAGTATTTCTATGCCTCTCTCTTGATGGCCGTGCTTCTAAATTTATAGTCGTTCCTCTCTGCCACCGTATCATTAATAATAAACGGGTAAGCCGTTCGATGAGATCGAACACCCTCGGTTCTCACACAATGTCTCGTTGAAACGACTAAACGAAGAGCAATTTCAACGGGCTTGATTTTATGCGTTGGATGATCGTAAGCGTCGGAACTGGTATCCTCTAAGGTGCTTCCGCTTCGAATGAAAGTTGTTACATACCTTGTATCAAATTTGTGGGTATATTTTATACTCGAGAAACGGTAAATAATTTTCATTCGACTACTATTTTAAAATGAACCTTCGTTTAATTATTAAGAATAGAAATAATTGAGTTTCAAATTTGAAGTATCAATTTGCCATCAAATTGATTAATTAAAATAATTAATTAATTTATGGCGCGTCAATCAGTGGTCATTTTCATAACACTCAAAGTATTAATTATCCAATTATAATAAAATTAAGTTATGAATGATGGTAAAAATATTAAAATTAGCTGAAAATTTCTAACGAATTTAGTAGAGCAATCAGTCTAATTATGGTCTTCGATAAGGAGGCACTGGAAGAGGGCACAGCTGATCCTTTTCACAGTTTCAATGTGTGCTTGAACAAGGATCAGGATCCCTGGGGCAAGTTGGCCACCGTCGTCAGGTGGTTAACCCAAAATACGCTAACTTCGAGACTCGACGCGTTTATCTAATTCGGTTAGGCGAGTTTGCGATGCGGAATCGATTTCGATCCCTCGGGGTTCCCGCTTTTCAATCAACCGATCCCCCGAACAGATTCTCAACACTCGGATAAATTGCATTCCGCATACCTTTCATTAAAAGATTTTCTTCTTTATTTTTCTTCGAAATTAATTATTATCTTTATCGTGTTTAGGTTTCTGTGATTTGTGATGGGTTGTTAATCGTATCTCCGTTCATGCGCGATAATTAAAATCAATACCCGATTAATGGCGAAGGGAAATTGTTTGGAATTCACTTTCGTTTCATTAGTAAAGCGACACGAACGGCTTCCTAAATAATTGCCGCTTTAATCATTTTAAATGCACAGGTAATCTGGGATCAAGTTCAAGATAGAGCCCCCCGACAGTTACAGATTATACTTGTGCATAGAACAGCCCCGTATTTACCCAACAATTAATTTCCTTTCGAAATAATTGGACGGAAGTTTGCTATTATACCTGTTCCTCGACGAATTTAGACGTTTCAATTTGAATTAGCTACTTGAAAAATTGTCAGATTTGGGAAAAAAATTCATTTTTATTCTCTGAATTATAAATTTAATTACGGAGACAGATTCGATCATATTTTTAGAAAATTTTATTACGAATATGAAATATTAATTTCTTAAAACTTGCTCTAATTTCCTTTCATCCTTAACTTTAATTTTTACCAATACAATACTGTTCTTATTTTGCCTCAAATTCCCTCACCAGTTTCAATAAAATCCTTAATAAATTCTAAATTTTAACTTCAATAAAAGTTAACCAACGATCCCTGAATATAAAGAAAAAGAGTGGTGTGTATAACATAAAAAAAAAAGAAACAAGGATTAATCCTATAGTAAATATATACTCTGACAACCGAATAAAGTTTATCAACTGCAAACGCTCTGGATCCATATTTCAAAAATAAAACTTGAAAAAAACGTGTCCGTTATACACGTACACAGCCAATCATGTGTGACACTCTGGTACACATATGTACCAACAATAACTGATAAACAGATGCAAAATATAAGTGAAAAGAACCGCAAAACTTTCAGGCAAGATTCATTGAACTCCGTTACACACCTAATACATGGACTATTTATAAATAAATAAATAAAACTGTGAATACAAACCGGATGATGCTGTGAATCCCGCGTGCATGCTGTACCGTGGCGCGGTCATGTGCTGAGGATGCGGCGTCGGTTGCAACGCGGCGTGGGCCGCGGATACCGGTGCCTGAGGATGCGTGGCCGCCGGTCGCGATAGTATCGTGTCGATCCCGTGAGGATTGCTCCCGACGGACGTGATGGAGGTAGCTGGACTGTGTTTACCGCTTCCGGTAGGCGACGACTGACCCTGGGTGATCGTGGACAACGGTACGCTGATCCTGGGCAACTGAAGACCCGGCTGCTGTTGTTGCTGATGATGGGCCTGCTGTTGCTGCTGCTGTTGCTGTTGTTGCTGATGCTGCTGATGTTGCTGATGGTGACTTCTCTCCGCCATGGAATGAAGAGCCGCCAAAGGTTGACTAGCCAACATGCTACCACCGGCGGCGCTCAGGTTGAGGAACTGAAGGACGTGGGGCGCCGCGGCCGCGTGGAAGTCGTGCAACCAGGGCGGCCTGGGCGGCGGTGGCGAGTGGCTCGATGCCGGCGGTGGCGAACACGAACCCAATGAAGAACCAGCCGAGGAACTCCTGTCGCCTTCCAAATGGCTGTTCCGTCTGTGAGCGTCGCTCAGCGACGACATGTTCTCGCCTGGCTGTCCTTCGGGGCTGGATCGCGACTCCAAGTCCGTGCAGGGATCACCGGTATCGTTGCAAGTCTTCCCGTTGTTGTTGTTATTGTTGTTGTTGGTCAAAGAACACACCATCTCGCACCACGCATAGTTCGGCAATGAGCGAAAAATGTTGGCGTAGGTGCTCGCGATTCAGCCGGCTGTCAGCGGTCGGGTTATCCTGTGGGTATACACTCACTGACACACAAGAGGCATCCTCTCACTCACTCTGGTAACCGGTGACGATAAAAACCGTGTCACAGCGTTGTTAACCTCGATCACTATTCGACCGTGCCATCGCGACGGTTCGACGCGTTCGTCCCGGCTCCCTGCTACCTGGAAGGCTTAATCCAGACCGATCGATCCGGCAGGACTGGAAGAAAAGTCGTAGTAGTGCACGTTACCCTTGAACGATCGTCGAACGAAGAGACGTAGAGTGTCACGTATTTAGGATAGTGTCGTTTAAAGGTGAATCGAGAAGCACGAGGATAGACGCGATTGAGAGAACTAATGGGGGGTTGCCGAGTGACTCGCCTGGCCAAGTGGTATGCGACTGGGGTGCATCGGGGAACGACGAGTCTGTTCGCTATCCGAGCGATTCACTCTCTCTCGGCATGGTCGCGCTCGGTCGAGCTTGACGAGCTCGGCTCGAGTTCGGGTTTGGGTTCGGGTACGCGCGACGCCAAGCACCGGATAGGTCGATCCTGCTAGCCCGTCTACCAGACGAGCCTGTGGATTGGCGTGGGAACGGTGGGTCGGCTGAACGTCGGAGGGCGGTTCTGTACTCGGATTGGCCGGGCTTGCTCGTTCCTCTGAAAGAAGAGGTGTTTCGGGCGGGGCCTCTCAATCTCGCGTTAGCTTCTTGTTAAGCGTCTTTCATTGTGTGTTTAAATTCGTAATTTATGATCCTGACTGAATAAAACAAGAACTCGCTGGTTCGCTTACTGGCTGGCTGGCTGGTTGGCTAGCTGGCTGGCTGGCTGAGCTGTTTGGCTGACTGGCTCCGCTAGTTTGCTCGACAACTGGGCACCTCTGTACGACTATGGTGACACTACCGCCTCGATAACTTCCTTGCTTCCTTGCTTCCTTCCACCCTGGCTGTCGTACGCTCTCTCATCCCCCTTTCACTCTTCCAACCCCATCCCTCTGGTCTACCTCTTTCTCTCTTACTTCAATCCCCCCCTCCCCCACCTCCCAGCCACCCAGTCTCTACAGCGATCCTCGCGACCAGTCAAGTACGCGTAGCCCGGAGCAAATCGAGTTATTTGCTCCCGATGGTCCATTTGGCTTGTTCCTCGCCGTTCTACGTATGGCGATGCACGTGTCAACGAGAATTCGGTTACTTCGTCCGGCTAAACCATTGCTTCGCGGATGACGTAACTAATGTCGGATGAACTTACCACGTCTGCCAGACCGGCCTGGCTCGAGTTCCACCGATCTAATGATCGCCACGGCAAACCTTTCGCTCTTTTCCGCCGGCAGGATGAATAATTTATGCCACTCTTAGCCGCTCGTTCGCCCGGTTACTCGAGCTTCTCTTTCTTCCGCGTCGTCCTTCATCCAACTTTACGTCGACTAAATGCATCGGGGATGAGAGAGGAAGCTGTTCTTTTCCCTTCGATCGGTTCAACCCCTTTCTATGGAGTCTTCTGGAGTTTGTTATGAACAAAGAGTACGGGGATCATTGTTTGCATTTAGGTTCGTTCTTTATTGCTGGATCCGAAACAGTGGGAACTATGACGAACTGTACTTTTTATTATGTCAAATTTCAGATTTTTCGTTTTATTAGCTTTTCAATTATTACCTTTTAATAAATGATTTATTTTTTTTTTTTTCGTTTGTTAGCTTACTTGTTTTAATTATAATTAATATTCGTTCGAATGTTAAACGCGTTATCGAAAATGTTGTGTAGCCAGGATTCGAATGGAAAATTTCAATCGAAATCGATGAGAATCTATTTAGCGAACGGTTATCGTAATAATCCGTATTAAACGGCCGCGGTACAGCACGATATAATAATATAGAGACAATGATAGGCGATAAAAGCGCGACTTGATGCTTCGTGAGGACGCGGCATATGGCAGGTTTTACGATGCTCCTCGATAGCGACGTTTGAATTACGGAAAATAATCTGTTGATCCTCTGTTTAAATAAGACAAGTTTTATTATACGACGCTCGATACACTTGGGGTATCAACTCGTCATCGTAATAACATTGATTTATTATTTTTTTCAATACACGTGTCAGTTAGGGATGGATTTAAGTGTTTTTGTACACAGGTGAAATTATTATTTGTTTAGAAAGAAAATAATTTTCAAATATCAGAAAAGGTGGTAGCCGTCGGGAAGCGAAGTGTTTCTAAAAGAAATCTTCTTCTAGTTTTTTTATTTCATAGAAAATAGCAAATTTGATTATGAAAATTCAAAAGCTATTCTCTTGCAAAATTTTTAATGAAACATAGAATAATTATAGAAGCAAGACTAAGAGATTAATAAATTATTAATCAAATAATCGTCTCTGTTCAACGGACGCCATCTGTTCACGAAATCATCAAAATTTCCATCGTCGAACGAGCAATGAATAGCGCGAACGGCTTCGCAGAACTTTCTCATCCCTTAAACAGTTCATTCCAAGCTCCGAGCCGCAATTTAAAATCCATTTGCCGGATCGTTGTTCACTCACGCACGTATGTAACCTAACATCCGTTCCGTGTCCTTTGTAATTCGAAAAAAATCACGTTTCTGCCGTCGTAATCGTTCGTACGAGGTGGCAAACGTGAAGCATAAATTTCTCGTTAAGGACTAGTCCCACCGTTCGGTTTTATCTCCTTTCCTACGATTACCCGTGTGGGGCCTAACACCTCTGTTCTATTCTGTATACTCCCCATTGGCACCGAGCCTTCCTGTTTACAGTGAAATTATTACCCGCGAGGCTGGACCGTCCAATAAAATCGTGCAAATTACATCGTCGCGTTGATCAGTCGGCAATAAAGCTCTCCAGCTCGTCGGCGCGATTAATGGACTGCTGGTATTAGGTCTTCCAGGGCAATTGAAACGCTTAACGAATTCCGAATTAGCAAATTCAATTGTCAATTGAACGTTAACAGATCTCCATCGTGTATTTTTTGGTAGAGATATTTATTTATTTGGTATTATTCTTTTGGATTTAATAGGGGTAGTATTTCTTCGAGTTGAAATTTTAAAATTTCTTTATTTAAACAAGTTTCGACATTTGAATAATTATGATATTTGGTTTAGTTTTCAAAGGAATTAGCTACTGGCATTCAAAGCTTTTTTCAGTACAGATTTTTATTTATTTGGTATTCTTTTGGATTTAATAGGGGTAGTATTGCTTGGAGTTGAAATTTTAAAATTTCTTAATTTAGTAGACATTAGAATAATTATGATACTTAGTTTAGTTTATTCAAAGCTTCTTACAAGAATATCATGAATTTTTTAGTAGAGATTTTTATGTTCTTGGTATTATTCTTTTGGATTTAATAGAAGTAGTATTGCTTGGAGTAAAAGTCTTGAAATTTCTTAATTTAATAAAATTTAGACATTGGAATAATTTAGTTTTCAAAAGAATTAGCTACTAGGATTCAAAGCATAATCTCATGAATAATAATAAACCTTGTTACAAGAACATCATGAATTTCTCAGTAGAGATTTTTATTTACTTGGTGGTATTGCTTGAAATTTCTTAATTTAAAAATGTTTAAATATTAGAATAATTATATCTGATTTAATTTTCAAAGGAATTATCTACTAGGTTGTATTCAAAACGCAGTCGCAATCGCATGAATAATAATAAACCTTGCTACAAGAACAACCCTTCCGGTTAAACAACAAGGTAGACGATAAATCAGTCTCGGTGGAGGCTTAAAAACGACGATAGTAAAGGTTGTCCCTTGATTCACCAAAGGATCTCCCTTTTCCCAACTAACCCCATACGAGGTACATCGTCACCCCCTTATACCTTTCCGAAAATATATTTGTTTCGAAGTCGTGGAATCGGGGGCGTCCTCCAAGTTACAACTATAAAAGAAAAACTTTCCAACGCCTATGACGTGATCATGAGACTCGTAATCGCGGGTCGAATATAAATTTCTCCGTATATTCCCTCTGAATATTCCACTGCCGGTGGACGCATCTGTTATAGTTATGTATTCCCTGTCTTCGGGACTCGCTTTATTCCCTGCTCAGCATTTTCGGTGCTAATTTTTCACGCGGCCCTCGATGCCATTTCAGGAACGTTAGTCGAGCTACCAATTGCAGGAAAATAGGGAGACCTGACTATTTCGATGACATCCGTTTAGCCGATGTTCCTCCGTTCAAGCGTGAACAAACGAAGGACGTTTAAAGCATCGTTTCTGGGGTGAATAGAAGTTCTCTGAATGACGAATAAAATTATTTAATCGCAGATAAAATTAATCGCAACGAATAATGTTTCATTAGAATAAAAATTCAATCAGCCGAAGGAAGAAGTTTCAAAAATTTTCGTTAACCTACCGTTCCTCTCGGTAGCGTTTCGTTTTACGGGACATAAAGCGATAATTGAGCCAGCTTATGGGGTGGTTCGGCACGGTGATAAATGCTCGCTAATTTCACGGATCATCGGCTTTTATTAACGGCCGCAGAGTGTCGTAAGCGCGACGGAAAAAAAAAAGGAGCAAACGAAAGTGTCGTGGCTGAAATCAGTTTACAGGGGAATCCGACCGGCGGCCATTGTCACCCGATCATTACACGCCGATGATTGCATTATATTAGCCATGCAGCGGAGATCCTTTTGCCCGCCGGTGATCCGTGTCATCGTGTTCCACGGCAGATGATGGGATAACCATACAGTTAGCCACTCGTTCCCTATCCCTCTCTAATTTTTACTACGTTCTTTTCTCTTTTTCATTCTCTCCTCTCCTCTTTGTGTCACGCTTACTATACGTTCGTCGTATTTAAATCGTATAATCGTATGCGCGTTCAGGTTCCGCTTCGGAGCTGAGGGGATGATTGGTCGTCAAATGCTTATTGAAATTCGTGAAATGAAGAGATTAGAAAAAAAGAAGAAGTTAGAAAATATTAAAAATTATGTCTTCGAGATTGGTATTAAAATGATTTTGCTTTGGTTAAAATATTATTATTGCTTTATTAAAAATATTTTCATAAAAAGAAAGTGAAGTATTAATTTTCTAGGGTAAATTTAATAAAAATATAAAAGACCAAAGAAGGGGCCCACCGGTTAGAAATATTAAAAATGATGTCTTTGAGATTTTGCTTTGGTAAAAATATTATTATTGCTTTGTTAAAAATATTTTATGAAAGGAAAGTGAAGTATTAATTTTCTAGGGTAAATATTTTGATAATGATAAGTCAATGATAAATTATTCAATGGAAAAAGTCATTGATTTTTATATAGTTTTCGTATTGAATTAGAAGGAAAGAATTGAGACATTTCAGCGTTCACAGAGGCGGGTTTAATGGGACCGTTCCGAAGGAAGTACCGATGCGTAACGAAACGGGTGACACCACTGTGAACCCCGATAATGCGATGATCATTCTGGGACAATATTAA